GCTCTCGCCGTAGTGTCTGTCGTAAGGCCTGCGGTCTGAAGAGCGGTTGTCGTAGCTGGGGAGAAGATGAGTGTCATTTAACACTGAATGACTTCCAAGTGAGCACTGCATACTACCTGGTTTTGAATTAAAATTTGTTAAAAACTTATAATAAAATATATTGGATTTGACACTCCAAAATGAACCTCTGATTATCATACAATCAGAAGTTTTAACATTTGTATTTTAAATAAAGTCTATTGCATACAAATTGAGGATATTCAAATTTGAGAAATTTACAGCAGCCATTACTATAGTCTCTACAGTGTCACATGATCCTTCAGAAATCATTCTAATATGCTGATTCGGTGCAAAAAACATGTCTTATCAATGCTGAATACAGTTTTTGCCTTTTATGCACATTAAAAAGCATGATTATTATTATTATTATTACTAAGTAATAAAAAAAGGAAGTATTATTATTGTAATATTTCCCAGACAAAAATCAAAAAAATCTAGAAAAATATTATAATAATCTTAATTTACAGCACAGCTAACAGCCCTCTACGAACACCTTGGCAATTGAATTGTCATTGGCTAGTAAAGGTTTTTGTTTACTCGCCAGACTGATATATATATATATATATATATAAATGGCACATGCATATATGACATAATAATAATAATAATAATAATGTGCTATACATCTGGAACAGGAGATTTATGTACAGGTTTGTGCATGTATATCAGAGAGCTGCTTCAGTTTAATCAGGAGGGTATACAGGATGATGGTGTTGAAAGTGGAGCTGAAGTCCACAAACAGGATCCTTGCATAAGTTCCTGGTTTGTCCAGATGTTGCAGGATGAAGTGCAGTCCCATATTGACTGCATCATCCACGGACCTGTTTGCTCGGTAAGCAAACTGCACGGGGTCTAGTAAGGGTCCAGTAATGTCCTTCAGATAAGCCAAACAGGGATGATAATAGGTGAGCACCAGCCAATGAGATTGCCGTTTGCGCATTAGTTCCGCCCACTACCGGAGAACGCGGCAGTTCTTAAACGCTGAAGAATTCCAAAGGAACTCCGTTAATTTGACAGCGAAAATACAACAAAGAATATCGTTTACATGTAGCGCGTCAATTCTCTCTCTCTCTCGCTGCGTGTGTGTGAATCAAAGCGACGGCGAGTTATGCGCCTTCACACTAGAGTTTACGGTACGTTGAATACAGGTGCGCTGCACATCCATTGAGATGAACTGTAAAATAGCACAGATCACTTGACGGAGAGAGAAACTCTGAAGCGCTCGGTCAGAGTGTTCGGCGAGTGAATATATATCTGTGCTAAACTTAATACTTAGCCTCCAACTCACACACTGGCGAATAAAATCTGAGAATGTATTAGCAATTGGCTAATATTAGACATCATTTAGTCGCCCAGAGTAAGATTTAGTCGCATATGCGAGTGATTTACTCGCAATGTAGAGGGTTGACTAAACTGACAATGTGTCAATTTAATGTTCCTGTGGTAAGGGTTGACAATCCTATTACTCGTCTTAGTGGAAACCTGCCTCAATTGCTGTCAGCATGTGCCTTTTTGAGCTGTGTAAGGCATCAAGCACCGGTAACCCATGCAAATTTGACCATTTTGGTCAATGCTTCCAGTACACGTTTTTATATACAGATAGTTATACACTTTTTAACCTAAACCCACCCCTACCCATAACCCTACCCCTCACAGAAAACTTTCTGCATTTTTACAATTTCATAAGTTAAAAAAAACTTGTTTACTTTATTTTAACAGTTTTACAAATGAGGACATCCACAAATTGAGGTTTTTGCCGATTTTGTCAGGCTTTGCTCACTTTTGGGTAC